AACAGTGGGCCGAATGGAGGTGTGCTTTGAATGCTTTAACAAACCTTCCAAATAACAAAATAACTCAGCAAAGAACTGAGAAAACAACTTACAGTATCTCTGGTTTGAACTTCAAACCAGGCCGAACACTTTGCTCACTGAGCTAGCTTCGAAATCCCTTTTTCTCTGATTTCAAATCAGGCTGAAAACTTGCTCTCTGACTCTTCCCGGTCACCGAACCCTTCTCCAAGTGTATAGAAACTTGGGCACCYTCCAATGACCTCCAAGAACCAGGCGAATGACTGTAAACATTCAGCCCTAGAACCTCCTCATGTAGTTGGCTGAACTAGAACCACATGAGGGACACGCCAAGCAGTGACCCGCTCTGATACCAAGTTGAAAAACAGTCCTAGAAGTATGGGATTGTGCTAGAAAACCAGAAAAACTAACAAGAGAAGATTAGAGAAGATTAGAGAAGAAGAGAGAGAGAGAGCTGCGGCAAGGAGAGTTAGGGGATGAGGAGTTCGAACTTAACCTCCCTCTAACACTCTAATACTCTTTTATTAAGTTAATCTTTTAGTAATTACAAGAGAGGTCCTTAGTTGGACATGAGATTACAAAAAAGGAACATAGAAGAGTATGGGCCCAGAATAAGGCCCATTACAGAGAAGAACATAAAGATAATATACAGTAACAGCCTATGGGCCATTCGGCCCATCTTCTCTACACACTTTATAAGTCCAAGGATCAACTCCACTTTCCTGGCCTTGAAACCTAAAAAGGGAGATGTTGTCCAACCGAAAGACTTTAGGCCCATCAACCTAGTGACTAGTATTTATAAAATTATGGCCAAAGTGTTGTCGTTAAAGTTAAAACTAGCCCTTTCTAATTTAATAAGCCAATCACAAGGGACCTTCATTCAAGGAAGACAGATTATAGATAAAATTTTGATAGCAAATAAATGTGTGGGGGACTTCAAGAGAAGGGGGAAGAAAGGTTTCATATGTAAACTGGACTTGGAGAAAGCGTATGACATGGTTGATTGGTCTTTTTTGTTGGAGTCCCTGAGGAACTTTGAGTTTGGAGAGAAATGGTGTGGTTGGATAGAGGCTTGTTTAAAAACTTGCCATTTTTCAATTTTAGTTAACAAAGTGGTTAGAGACTTCTTTCCAGCCTCTAGAGGGTTGAGACAAGGGGATCCCCTTTATCCTTTCCTTTTCACTCTGGTAGCTAACATGTTTAGTAGGCTCATTTCGAGAGCTAATGGTTTGGACATGTTTAGAGGATGGAGGGTAGGAAGAGAGGGTATTGTGGTAACACACTTGCAATTTGCAAATGATACAATCATTTTTGCGAGACTGGAGATCCCTTAAAGGCTAGGAACTTGAAATGAGTAATAAAGATGTTTGAATGCATGTCGAAGTTGAAGGTCAATTTCAAAAAGAGTTGTGTAATGGGGGTAAATTTGGATATGGAGGAGTTAAGTGAGGTAGCAGAGTCCTTAGGTTGCCTTACCTCTAGCTGGCCTTTGAAGTACTTGGGTATGCCTTTAAGAGATAGTCCAAGATAAGGAAGATTTTGGAATCCGATTGTAGAAAAATGCACAAAGAAGCTGGCAGTTTTGAAGAGAAACTACATTTCCCTCGGGGGTCGTATCACTTTAATAAGAGCTACTCTTGCGGACTTGCCAACTTACCTTCTCTTGGTCTTTAGAATGCCACAAAAGGTGATTTTGAAGGTAGAGAAAGTCATGAGGGATTTTTTGTGGGAGTCAAAGGAAGGGAGAAAGAATCATGTGGTTAGGTGGGAAATAGTGTGTAGGAGGAAGAAGCAGGGGGGTTTGGGATTAGGCAATCTAAGGAAGAAAAATACAGCCTTGCTAGGCTGTGGAGGAGGCCTCTAGAAAGGGAAAGACTTTGGCATAAAGTTGCAAGGAGTATGCATGGTATTGCAGGCAATGGTTGGGATGTTGGTGTATCTCGGCGGGCTACACTAAAATCTCCATGGAAGGCTATTCATAGTATTCTTCCTGTTTTCTTGAATCTGATCAGGTATGAAGCTTGTACTGGAGATAGGGTTTTGTTTTGGGAGGATGTTTAGATTGGTGACTTCACCCTCAAGGACCTCTTTCCCTCCTTGTATTCCATCTCGTGTTTTAAAAACGAGCCAATTCAAAGGTTTGTGCCTCCCCCCTTTTTCTTTTGGTATAAACTAGAGGCTGGGTTTTAGAAGAGATTTGAGAGATTTTGAGCTTGACCAGGTTGCTTTGCTCCTTAAAATTATTGATCCTGTTTGCTTAGATCCGTCTTCTCCAGATACTTGTATTTGGAAGCCTTTGCCCTCGGGATCCTTTTCTTGTGCTTCTTTCTTTGCTTCCTTGTGCTCCTCATCGCTGCCTCAACCTTTTCATAACAAGGAAGTTTGGTCCAAACCTGTCCCTCCAAAAGTGGGACCCCTTTGTTGAGAAGTCTCCCTTGGAAAAATCAACACTTTGGATGTTTTGCAAAAAAGAAGACCTAGTTTTTGCATCTCTCCTAACTGGTGTACCCTTTGCAAAGCAAATGAAGAAAGTTGCTACCATATACTAATCACTTGCCCTTTTGTTGTAGGCCTTTGGGAAAAGCTTTTTGATCTTTTTGGGTGCAGGTGGACAGAACYGGWGCAGATTTGCAATCYTTTTGAYCCTACAACTTTCAGGTGGCCAAAGAGAAGAGGAAGAGTTTTGTGCAGGTGTGCTAGAGCTGCTTTGGTGTGGACTGTGTGGCAGGAACGAAATACTAGTCTTTTTTTATTGGAAACGGTAACTTCATTAAATAACTTTCCAGATTTAAGTACAGATGTCAGCTAAACCATTAGCTTATCTTTCTTACAAAAATACTAGACTTTAATGACAAGGAGAGGGATCAGACATGTGTGTTAGAAAGTATTTTATGTAGGGCCATAAATAAAATCCTTGGACCTGTTCTCATCCTACTCTTTTGATGATATAAATAGGAATTGGGAACGACTAGCCAAAAGTTCTGCAGTCAGAAGCAAGTCTTTGGAGGATTGGAAGCCTCCAGATGTAGGCTTCATTAAATTAAAATTTGATGGCAGTAGTTTGGGCAACCCGGGGCCATCTGGAATAGGGGGAGTCTTTAGAAATGCTGAGGGCCAGATTGTAGCTCTATTTTCTGGTCCTATAGGGATGGGAGATTCAGTTAATGCAGAACTCCAAGCTGTTATACAAGGAGCAGAAATTGCAAAAGAGTTGGCAGTGGAGCATTTAATGACTGAAGGTGACTCCAAATTGGTTAATGGATAGCTAAAAGAACCGGAGATGGCAGCCTGGCCTTATAGGGGGGCTTTGAGAAGATTTAAGTGGCTAAGATCAAATATCTCAGTCACAGTTCAATGGGAAAGAAGATCGGCAAATGGGCTGGCAGATTTCCTAGCCAAACAAGGAGTACATAGGAATCAGATCTTTTGGGCTAAATTGTAAGCTTTATGATGTAGTTTGGAGGCTGCACCTCACGCCTCTTTGTGGGAGTTGTATGATGTATACTGTGTTTTTATTCTAATTAATAAAATTATCATTATCTATCAAAAAAAATAAGTGGGATATATACCACAGTCTTTTGTTCACTGATAAATCAAAAGAGAGTTCAGATTTGTTTACAGCATACATTAATACATATCTTTATTTTACTTTCTCTCAAAAAAAAATTATTAATGAAAAAGGAAAGAACAGGGTGATAAGAAATTTCCCAGCAAAACAAACCCACCCAAAAACAAAAAAAACTAAAACAGAAAATCAGCCCTACAAAGTCCAGTACACCCTGAGAAATCCAAACCCAGATACAACTGCAAAAACCCCAAACAAATATCACACATACCCCTCCCACCAAACACTAGAAAAGACAAGCGAAAAACTGCAGGTCCAACACCCTTCCAACCCCAAACAACTCAAGCTTTATCCATTTTCTCCACGTATCCTTTGTCTAAAACGTAGCTCTCACTTCTCACCTGAGAAACTTTCTGTCTTCTTCCCCTTCTTCTTTAGTCCCATCCCATATACTCCCAACTTTAACCAAGTGAAAGCTTTTGAGACTTGCATCGTTTGATTAGTTTTCCGTCTTCTAAATCTTCTTACTGCATTAGGATAGATACCTTCATATTCCGATGGTTCCACGTTGAGTATTACCACAAGAATGTTTATCCATTCTTTTACTCAAATTCCTTTTCTTTAATCTTAATCTCTATCCTTGTCTCTTTTATTGGTCTTTTATTGCCCCCATGCTTCCCAACTATATTATAGTCTTTTTTTCTGTTCGTCCTTACCTCTTGCTTGATCTTCTCTCCCTCCCTTTTTTGAACGTTTAGGTATCTATCCCCCCTCACTGTTATTTTCTGCAGACCCTCTTTATAGCAAGGTAATCCTTGTCAACAATCTATTCTATAGGCTTCTGATTCATGGATTTCTTTCTTGACTAGAACCTTTAGGGAATGTTCACTAATATGTAAGGTTTTGTTTTTCAAAACAAAAACAATATGATTTTGTTGATTAGGCAGTTATTTTTGTTTTGCAAAACAAAATCATATATATGTGAACACCCCCTGAGCCCTCTACCTTACCTACCACTTGCATAATTTTGCAGGAAATACCTATCTGTCATACATCAGGTCACATAAATATGCATGCAATAATATAAATTTTCTGTTTACATACCGATTGAACTGCATTTAAAAGCCGTCGACACATTCCTTGACGTCTATAGATATGACGGGTTCCAATAAATGGCATCTCAGCCAACCTGGTCCCATGGATCCTATATAACAAGGTATAAAACCAGGTGAAACAAATTGAGGATTTAGGACAACACTAATGTTTTAATAGTTTTTTGATTATAAACAAAAAGGTTCTAATGCAAAATAGGAAAACATTACCAACCAAAATGGAATATCATGAAATACGAAAGATGGTAGTAGAAAATTGCAAACCAGGAAAACAAAGCCTCATAAGAGAAGGTGTTTCTGAAATAAGACACACTAGTCTTCCATTACTAGCAATATAGCTGCATCTAAACCACAAATATGTACTCCAGAAAAAAGAAGAAAAATAAATAAATAAATGAAAAAAATGTGCATATTCAAAGTATATACAAGATGGTAAACTGCTTCCCTATCAACAATATAAGATGACAAGGAAAAAAACCAAGATAATGCTTCCTAAAAGAAAGTCCCTATAAAAAACATAAATTAGTTAACTGAAGGAAATAGAGCATTTCCAAAAATAGAATATCTGTTTTCAAATGCTTCCTTCACAATCATTTTGTGCCTCTTTGAAATAATGCAAGCTAAATGCTAATTATTGATACTTAGGAAGGATGAAATAGTTCCAGTTTTCTGTGCACTTAATGCCATTATAGACAAGTAAACGATGACAATACTTCATTGACAAATATGGTAGCAGAGTTCAGAAACTTCTCTCCAATGGAGTTCTATGCTGAGCTGGAAATTGAAAATTTAGTTTTAGAATGTGACAAGTATTTGTAATTCATCAAAAAAAAAATGTGACAAGTATTTGTAAACTATAAAAGTGACAGGTGTAATACATATAAGAGGATTTAACACTGGATGTAATAATTGAAGGATAGTTACTTGTTCTTCATTGTTGCAGGACAAAAGAATTTTAAGGTGCAAGATAAGTCGGATGATAAAGCAAGTGCATTAAGTTCCCACTAGCCTAAGATTAACCTCAACTTCAATCACAACCTCAAAAAAAAATGTCTTTGCCAAGTAAAAGAAAAGGACAACAGAACTTGAGTGTGGTTTTTTTATCAGCAAGAACTGGGTTATGGTTCTATATTTTTTATCAATGGTTCCATAAGCATTTAATTGGATTATTTGCAAAGCAAGGATATGAAGATCTTAAGCTCACATTTATATTGATGCAAGTAGTCTCACCATGAAAGTTGCGAGTTATTGATTAAAAAATAGTCTCAGCATGGTTTGATCATTAACCAAGAAAACGTTTTGACTTATTTGCATACTGTTCTGAGCGTACAGAGTACTACAATGTAATGCAGGACTTGGTTTGCATTTTCCTACCAAAAATATTTTGATCACAGATAAAAGAAATGCAATAATTATTCATCAAAAATAAATAAAAGAAATGCAATAACTGAAGGGGAAGATTTAAACACTCCCTCCTTTTGCCAACTTTGGCAGTACTAAAAGATCTATTAACTTTTTCGCTACCAAAAGTGAAATACTTGCCACTAACAACCTTGATCTCCTTGATTATGGTGCTAGACTTTTTATGAATCACATTTAACAATTACATGTTGACATGTGAAAGAGTAACTAAAGCTATTTTATATATTATTTTGAATGTTCTAAAAATCATAACCACATCAAAAATCACAAAATAGTTCATTCAATTCAAATTGTCAATCATATAATAAATAATAAAATTCTAAGATTATTTGTTTTTAGAAATATCCCAAAATAACAAAATATATAAAGAAGAAGCTTTTTTTGTAAACAACTAAAAGCTTAAATATATAACAAAAAAATGATTCAACTTCATTTTCTACCAAATTGACCAACTAATTAAGACAATAATGTTTTACCACCCATACTCTAGATGTAAGATACTTCAAGTCAGAAAACCCACGTGCAATAGCTTTTTAACCAACACATGATGGAAAGACTCAAAGAGGTCACCAAATGGAAGTTTTAATTAAAATAATTCCTCCTCTAGTAACATTTTGAAAACAAAAGGCCATAAAAATAAGAAAAAAGAAACACAAGATACAGTACTACATCCTAGTAAAACTGATCTGAATCATATGTATATATACATCCAAGTCAAACCATAAGATTCACAAATTGCAAACAATAATTACAAGACTCTTTCAGAAATTACTTAATCTCAAGATTTTAACTGGAAATCTTTGAATCATGAATGGTGTTGCAAATCATATGATTTGAATCTGTAGTTGGTGGCCTGTCACATAGCTTTTGCTTGACTTCCTCTTGTTATAAATTTTAACTTTTTCTTTCATTTTGGTTTGTTGGTTTAATTGATTGAAGTTGTTGCATATTCTCCAATAGTCCCCATACTTATGTGTTGAATTTGTGCTAAAATGATAAGAAAAAGAAGCCAAGGAAGGGAATGTAGAATGCTTATTTCAAATTATAACATTTTCTTCTGAACTTTTACTGAAATTTGGCATGTGAAACATGGAATGGTTGTTTATTGAGGAACAATGAAACTTATACCTTATTGTTGTTTATAATTAATGTTCTTTTGGAAGTTGAATCATCTAATTAATTAGGTGTTCATTTTTGTTAATTGATTGTTCTGTCAAAGTTAAGACTTAGGCAAATACTACGGTGCAGTTGTGAAGCAAAAAAACATGAAGCAGTAATAAAGTGAGACAGCACAGTTGACATATTTAACATTGTTAAAATCTTTAACGTGACTGATAATTATAACTTGCGAAATGTGAACCAATAAAAAGTAAATAGGCCATGTGACATCTTTAACGTGATTGGTTGATATTGAGATTTAACATGTCACAAATATTCAGTTCTGCACCATAGTAAGATTTTAAGACTTAAAAGAACAATACCAATGGGACTCAAACCCACAACTACTGACCATAAGACCACCACTCTACCAACTGAACCAGATGACTATATTAGCACTTTAGCTTTATGTTTTCTTTTTTTTTTTTTTTGATAAGTAAAAATTCTTTAAATGTTTCATTAAATCAGTAAAGATAAACAACTGTTACCAGCTTCCCCAATGGAGGCAAGAGGTGCAGCCTCTGTCATAAAGAAAAAACAGCACTTTAGCTTTATGCTTTCCTGATAATCTATTATTGTCTATAAGTGTTACTCACTAGTTTAAAATTTCTTTTAAGCCTTAAACCTCAACTCTCCTAACTTCTCCCAGACCAACTAATGTGCCTTTGCTTTTTACCCTTCTAAACTTTCTTGCAAAAGGAGTTTTATTTTATAGAAAAAGAAAAGCTCAATAAAAAAGGAACAAGGATACAAGGTTTACTGAGAAAAAATCTCTATTGAAATAAGGAAATGTGCAAGAAGAACCTTCCCACATGCTATCTCTAAAAAAGATGACCACACCCCAAGCCACAATCCACAATCAAAACCAAACGTAACTTCAGCAAGAAAAAGTGCTCAACTCCAGCTCCACCCTTGACTCCCTTCAATAAACAGCCCACCATCCTCACACAGCTGAAAACTGTACCTTATTATTTGTCTACTAAAAAAACTAATTTACAAACACACTGATCTATTGTTACTCATCAGAAAAAAAGACTTATCATCTATCCAACATTTATAATTTCATCAGCCTTACTCATGTTTCATTTGCCAATTCAATTAACAAAATTGTGGCAAACTCATCAACTCCAAAGAATAACTACCCAAGCTCCTTATTAATTTGCAATTTTCGGAAAATTATAGTTGTATCATAAATCGTAAAGGTCTTTAAATTGAATTTATCATATTGTAAGATTTTTTTTCTGATTTTTCTAAGTGTTATCAAAAACAATAAAAACTACCTAAAGTTTCTCAAAAAAATAGGAAAAAAAGTGACTTTGCACCACAACTTTCAGCTTATAGACATCATATAAGTAGGTAGTAGTAGTCGCAAATCGCAATTACACTACCTTTCATACATACCATAATCAATGTTCATAATTCAATAGATGCCATGGTATGACTAAAGACCATTTTCCCTCAGTTATCCATATCCCCAAGCTTCTTAAAGAAAAAGAACCATAATGTTCTCTAGTCTATTGTTTCAATTGTTAAAATCAAGCAAGCATCATGGAAAATGCTAAAATAAGAGACTGCTAGGCTGCATACAGTCCACACAGATTCAAGAACAAAATAATTCAAATTTCAAACTACACACACCAGTACAATAATGAGACACTGCAGATAAACAATACCCCTCAAAAATGGAAAATAATAGGGCAAAGCCTCTTTTTATATCATAAACAATGGGAAGAATCCCTGTTTTGCATCAAAAAAGGAGGGAAATAGCAGAGAAGATCCCCTGTTTTATGACCCTGTTTGCATAAAAAAAAGGCGAAATTGATAGAGAAGATCCCTTTTGTGTAAAAAATGATGGAAAAAAAGAATGTGGTGGAACCCCTGTTTTTGCATCAAAAGAAGAGGGGAAAATTAGAGCAGCGCCCCTGTTTTATGTCAAAAAAGGATGAATAAAAATGGAGTGGAGCTGGACACTCCTGTTCTTGCATCAAAAGAAGAGGGTTTCAGAATAATAGGCAAGAGCCCCTTAGTACAGCAAAGAAAAAGCAAGAAGAAAATATCAAAAAAAAAAAGAGAGAGAGAAAAAGTAAGAAGAAGAAGAAGAAGAACAGCAGCAGCAATCAAAAAACAAAAAGAAAAATATTTACCTCGAACACAAGCTAGCAATAATCAAAAGGACTTGGCTTTGGAGCTTCCAAAGCAACAGTCATGGAGGAGGGTTTCTCCTCCCGTCCGAACCTTTTCGTATAAGAGTTTCATTTGATTGACTAATTAAGTTATACATATGAAATGTCATGATTGCCCCTTTCTATGTCAATGAAACTTTAAAATGAGGACTAACGCAGCCCATTTTAAACCACTGTTTAACAGTAATCATATGAATCACATTTAACTCATTTGCAATTCTAACCTAAATTCATATATAAATCATATGATTTATGCACAAAAAAAAAACGATATATATGTACGATCCAGATCATTTTATGAAAGATTCAACATAAATTGTACGATTTGAGACATGAATCGTATGATTTTAAAAACAAAGCTAATTTTAACTTCTATTTCAACCACCCTTCCTAAATCCACCTTTCTTCTTTTTTTATTGATAACAATCAAATTTTAGTAATATATGAAGAAAATATACAGATTACATAGAATTAAAAATCAGAAAAGTGGACCATCCCTAAATCTACCTACTGAATATGAACTGTTTGATAAAAAGGGGTAGCATCTTCAGCATCTACTAATTCCACTCCAATCACATTCTGTCCCCAAACCACCACTACTGTTTGTCCCAGAACCTTCAATGCATTGACAAGTTCAGTATTTCCTATTCTGAAGAAACCCTTTTGCAGCAGAACTATGAGTATTATTTCCAACAATTTCTTGAACACCATTTGGTGCAAAATGAAGCTAGTAAGGCCCACTATGAACACAAACCCCATTTGAAGTGTTATCTTCACCACATTCATTATCATATGCCTCCTAATATTGCTATAGAAGATATAGCACAGAGAGAGAGAGAGAGAGATTCTGGCCGAAAAGAGAAAAATAGCTACATCCTCAACTTTTAAGTAGAGAAAAATAGCTGCATTTTTCACCTAAAGAAACAGTTAGCTGGGAAAATTGATCTAATAAAACCTTAAGAAACAACGAATTCCACTATTAAAAAATTAATTCCTATGCTCAAAATATTGGTTATTACTCATTTTATGTATCTTAGAAACCATCCACAACAGATTCTTTTCTTTCAAGAAAATGCAAGATGAAATTTTTTTTCTTTTTTTCCAACAACAGAACAAACCAAGGAAACGCCAAACCACACCTGAAAGAAAGTATCCTTATACCCGAAAAGATATCCTAGACACTACATTCACTCAAAGGAGACCTAATGGACAAGAAATATTAGATTAGTCAGGTCTAATACCTGATGGATGCCGCAGAGATAATTTCATCACCCCTCTCCAGAATAATAGTGTAGAAGCCACCATAGTTCAGACGATTTAAGTTTGATCTGTCAAAAAAATAGAAGTATTCACATATAGAGAAACTAAAGAACTTTATAAAAGTTGATAAATCAAATAGCTGTAAAAATGTCCAACACAGCAAATTAACATGATGCCCATAGTTTAACAATGGGTGTGGCATTGAACAGAATGGAAGGGTGGAACAGGATCATGTAGCAGAACCATATAGTTGAGACAGGGCTTAGATGAGGGTGATGATGGCAGCATACTGATATGATAAAAAGTAAACTTCTAATTCATAGCACCAAGTAATCTAGAACCCATGACCTTTTTGACCTGCCCCTAACCCTTCTAGACATTTCAACTTCCAACAGATCACTTCTCCCTGATGATGCAGATGGTCTTCCTTTGACATTAACAACCATGTAGAACCCATGAAAATTAACTAGGACTAGTAGACAAATTGATGACGTTCAACACTGCAACTATAAACTAAAAACTGATAAGCCCAAAAGGTAAAAATTAGTAAGTGCCTACCCACAGTTATACAGAACATTATGAATCAAATTAATGCCACTCCTCCGGTCAAAGATGGGCAAAAAGCACTCATCCATAACTGCCAGTGCAACAGCAAGCTTAGAATTGCATTCAGTCCTAAGAGGCAGACCACGGACAGAAGTATCTGAGTCTACATCAGATCGCCGAATAAGAGTCCATGAAAATCCTGCTTCCAGGTCATGTTTAACACCAAGAAGCTTCTGCAACTTCTGAAAAATCTGGAGAAATAACAACATGTAAGCATCATGTGAGCAGTCCTCAAAGTGCAAAAGATACGGATATTAAAATCAGACAGGGAAAAAAACCATTCTTAGATACTAAACAACCAAAATTTAGATCCGTCAATGGGTCAGGTCTGGTTCAGGTCAGGGTGGATCAGTACCAAAATGATTATTAGTAAGTTCTTTAAACTAGACCCAGAACCAAAGCAATTATTAATTAGGATAGTCAGATATGACCCCAGTAGACCCAATGATACTTAACATCTATAATTACCTATAAAATAACAACTTGGAACTTCATGTTTTATAATATAACCTTGAGAAAAATGACAACTCTGTTTATAAGTTGATAAAAGAAGTGCTTTTAACCAATATTATCTTATATACTGTCTATGAAATTTACCTGTTCAGACATAAAATAGAACAAAAATTATGATAGAACCAAGAGACCATTACATACATAATTGGTTTGGTCATAATCAGTTTGAAGCAGAAAAAACCATCCCAACCCGATTATAATTGGGATACAAACCTCAGAACCAGAACCAATATAATCAATTCAGTCATTTGGTTTTGTCAGCTAGGCTCAACCTATTGACAGCTCTACCAAAGTTTCAGCAAAAGAAAGACACTTTCCACACAAAATAATAAATACAGCCTCTCAATGTACTCAGGTAAATGTACATTTTGGAATGATTAAATTAAAACAACACAATACTTTAATCCTGAATTACAGGACACAATTTATAAAACCAAATGATAGCTTTTTTACAAAGTCAGCAGAAGCATAGAATTTCAGAGCCCTACCAAATTAATTAGATATTGGCCACTGAAAACAAGCAACAAGAAGCATCACCTGATTGCACTTCTTCCCACAAAAGGAGGTGCATGGATAACTGGAATCAACAGGAACTGCATCCTTTTCCTGAATACATGAATGGTGGTCTGCAAGAAACAAAAATGTTGGAAGGATTTTCAGCCTCATTAAGAAAAAATCACAAGAAATAGATAATAAATAAATGAAGGGAAAAAGTACATGCAATTGCAGAAAAACATATAATAATACTATACAAAATGAAGAGGAAAATTATACATTTTCTCTCACATAGACTGCATGTAAGTAATGCAGAGATTGGTGCAGAATCCCTTTCAGAAGTAGTATCACCAGAAACATCGCAAATTTTGCATGAACAATTTGGACAATGCCAATCACCTTTAGGCAGAATCTGTAACAAGGAGAATAAATGACCATCAAATCAACTAAATCAGTAAATTACTAGATAAATACAATCCATCATGAGCCACCAGCTAACAAAAACACACCAATGTTGTTGTATATGCTTTCCCAGTAAATTTGAATTCACCCTCATTCAGAACTTCTAATCAAAATGTCCAACACTCTTATTACTTGAGAGCTCTAGGGATTCTACTGTATAGGCTTACTAAGGTTATTGAAGTGTGTAACAATGTATGAAAACAGAAAAAGATCTTGCACTCAGCCATTTCTCCATTCCAGATTGCTTTCACAAGGGGAACACATAAATTTAATGGTGTAGTGCACCATGATCAGAGGCTCAGTCATTCAGTATACCAGATGAGATTGAATGGATATGGAGAAGAAAATAAGGGAAGGATATACAAAATGCATAAGAGATATACAAGATGTATAAGAGGGAAGGATATACATGATGGTTGATTTGTATAACCTTCCCTCTTATACATCTGTAAAAGGAGAAACCTTATGCCAAGTCTATATATAGTCAATGTAATTGCAAATTAGATGGTTGATTTGATTAATGAAGTTTATTTTAACAAATCCTGGTTGTAGCCAGGGATCTCACCCTTACTTATTTCTTCTTCTAATTGCAAATAAGGGGTGCATCTTCTGCTTCACTTTGATCTGTGCTGATCACCTGAGCTTGTATCTTATCTTTTTATTTTGGAATAATTACTTACATATACCCTGCACATTTGAGAAACTACTTATATATACCCTGAACTTTCAAAAACAACTTATACATGCCTTGTTGACCGGCTCTGAAACTTCAACAAAACCAATATTGCCCCAGATTCTATGACAAAAAACAAGAACCTAGAACCCAGAACCCCTAACCCAGAAATTGAATATTTGGTTTTGTTTCAGCTCAAACTCCAGATTATTGGTTTTGTTTCTCAAGATTTTATTTCTTCTTTGACAAAAAAAAAAAATCTGCCTTGACAAATCGTTGTTTTTAGTTCTCTTAGCATCTATTTCTTTCGTTGTTAAATCTAAAAATACCAGTCTTAAGGGATGAGGTTTTACATGGTTTTAGCTTCATTTTTTTATCATGAGCATTAAATGGACCTGAGAATTTCAGTTTCAGCATCATCAAATAAAAACTCATCTGAAAGGGGAACACTATAAGTATTTTGAAAAGGGATAAAATGGAGAAGATTCCATTCTTGACAGGATCATAGTAGGCTAACGAGAAAAGATGTTCTCTTGGTTTTAAAAAAGTAAACTGTAAAGCCCATGGCTTTTTAACATCTAGGTGAACTTCCTGACAATGATTGTGGTCGATTCTGCAGACAAAGCAGACATCCCTTATAGACAAGATTAGGAGCTTCTGACCTCGGCTAGAAGGACATCAGCAATGGTGAGAAATTTGATCAATGTCATCTAGAAGTGAGTTGCCTCTTGGGTAGCTGGGCTCAGCCAGTGAATTTCTTGCTCTTAAATGCGATCCTACGTGGTGAGTAACTCCTCTACAATTCCTAGACATTGTTGAGCACCACAGCTTTATTTCAGGATTCAAAAACATTTCCTTTCAAGTCCTAGCAATGTAAAACTAAAAAAAGGGTAATCAATCAATGTTCCTGGATTCAAGACGGAGTGGGAAGATTTCTGCCTACTCTCTAAAACTCTTAGTCTGCTCCATAAATTTCCTCTTCATTCTCACCAGCAATGTCTTCCACATGATCACATCCTGCAAAGTGTTCACTGCAATGATTGCGACCACCTTTCCTTTTCTCCCATTTCTTCAACACATTCTTCTTCTTACAACCTTTCTCATACCTCATAACAATCAAATCCCTTGACCCAAGAGATTTTTTCTCTCCTTTTCCTATACCAACCCTCCCTTTAAAAACCTTCATCTTCTTCCATCATTTGTTTCCTTTCAAATCTTTGTTTTTTATATTTATATTCTTGAAGTGGTCCCAACTTAAGCTTCTCAATTCCCTAGGACCCGCTACCGCCTATTCCCCTTCTATCGAAATCCTCCCGTATCTTCCACTCTCACAACACCCTCACCCCCCAGGTATCCCTCTTGATATGAATCCAAATCAAAATCTTCCTCTGAACTTACTACTTTACCCTTCATACATGCCACCACATAATCTTCCACCTCAGGTCGACTCTTCATCTCCCTACCCTCCTCCACTCTGCAACTTTGGTTCTTTCCATTATTCTCCCCCAAGACTATACAAATCAACCTCTCCACAAGAATCTTTCATGTCTGGTCTAAAGAAAGGCCCATCCTCCCCTTCTAAAATTAATCTCAAATCATAACTCTCCCCAGAAAACTGAAGTTCCATCTTGTTCGGTAAACTAGAAACCTCCACTTCCACCAATATCCTAGCCATGAACAGCCTTTCTCAAGTCCTATTCCAATCATTATATCTTAGGAATTTCGTGCAACAATCCCCAATCTCCTTAAAGGTAAGTGTACTCCATGTAGGAATTACCTAAGTACCTAACCACACCGCCCATCGTTTTTTGCTTCCCTAATCGCCCCTGCTGCTGGAAACCACCAACTTAATCAAAAGTCGCAATCTCTCACCTTTGAACTCTCTAATTCCATAATCCTCTATGCTCCTTCTCTACTATAAAACATAAAAAAAAAAAGCCAACCATTTAACTTCCTCACACCCATCACACAATCCTTCTCCCATTCAAGAGACGCCCACACTTCAACCTTCTCCTTCAGGATCCATCCCCACAAACCTCCCTACTAGAATGGCCTGCAACACCCACATCCACTCATCCATCTTCCCAACTCTCCTCACATCGACACACACACCACCATCTTCCCATCACACAATCTTTACCCCTTTTGTATAATCTTTTAAATCTGTTGCTACGACCAGCCTCAATAAGACCCTCTTTAAGCTGTGAAAGCACGTTGGTAACATGCACAATCTAAGGATTACATGAAACTCTAAACTTCTTTACAGACACCAGACCATCCACAATTTCAACCTTATCAGGCTCCTTCCTCCTCCAACCCAAATCAAATCCTACTTTTCCAACTACCACTTCAGCAACCAAAAAATCTTGGCTGCATCAATTAAGGCCTCACTCTAACTTTTAACTCGTCCTTTTACCTAATATATAAAGGAAAGCCTTCAAACCAGAGGGCTTCTACTTTAGATAAGTGGCTACCTTTCTTCTCCAAAAAGAGTATCTAGGGAGTGGTTCTTTCCACTTTCAAACAAAAACCTTCTACTTTAGACACGTCTCTGCACATCTCAAGAAAAAAGCAATTCTAGAGAGTGATTATTTCTACTCTCAAAAAAAAGGCTACGAAAAGTTACTTTGTAGGACTTCTATCTTGGAAATGAGCTGTCATGCCCCTCAATTAAAATTAGAACAGCACGTGTTATTTCCCCAAACAAAAGGAATTTGCAAGAATATAACATCCTAACTGTTTGCTACTAGAGCTAGTGTGCATGTACTATCTATAGAACCATACAATCAAGGTTCAAAGTATCGATCGATACACCTCTGTATATCAGCAGAGGTGTATTGGTACTAAAAACCTTGCACTTTTATATTTTTTTAGTTTTTGTTCAAATTTTGGTTTTTGGGTAGTTTTTAATATATATTATTCATTAAACATAAGAGGGCACCCGTAACACCTGTAAACAGATGTTCCGGAACCCAGATAGGATACGATACGCCTGATATGAGGTGTACCATATCGAAATTTTGATCCATGCAAATAATATTAATAACTTGTACATACCTGAATGTCCAAGCAGCTTTGATGGAATGTTGAAGGACAACCATCACAGCAGATCAAATCCCCACCATCTCCACAGATGCCACAGGTATCATCATTTGGGTCATCACCATCTAAATCTACAAAATGGAATCCACGGAATGCAGAATTCTCCTGTTTATTCCATGCATCAAGTTGACACTGCAAAAGGGAACTCCCGTTCTCTACAAAAATGTTCTGGAATGGCTGGCGAAGTTTGCTTCCTGCATGAATCTCAAACTTTGAGACTGAGAGAATTTTACTGCAGCAACCACAGTGAATGCCATCCCTTGTTATCCAACCCTCCAGCATCACTCGTGTTCGTCTCCTATTCATATACTGCACTTTCCCACTAAGAGGAATAGCTCCAGAGTCCACCAGCCAGGAGAGCACAGTTCGTTTTCCAGCATATGGAATAAAATCATCAGAATCTGGACTTTCCCCCTTGTTAGACCTGCGAACCAACAAGGCATATCCACCTTGCCTTTTATTTTTCTTTGCATCTAGAGCATTTGACGGTATATATGGCTTATGTACCTCAAATGGCTTCAGCATTCCTTTGTATGACGTACCAATCAATTTACCATCTTCACGAGGCACTCCCTTGTGTGAGAGACCAGTCAATTTACCTTCTTCATGAATCAACATTTCACCATTTACATAACCTGCTTCTTTTGAAAATGAAGATTTCTGACTTTGAGAAATGCCCTTGGCATTTTTACCAATACCAATATTTTTCTTTATCTTCCCCTTCAGTAACCTGCCCCCCTTCTTAATGAGAGAACTCAGTTTCTCATCATTTGTGCCACTATCAGTGCTCTCTACACTGTGCTTGTTTTTGGCAGACTTTTTTCTACTGGCCCTTTGTACATTTTTATTCCCTCTTTCCTCTTTGCGCTTCTTTTTCATTTCTTTCTCTCTCTTTTTGCGTGTCTGCCTTGTTAATTTACCAAGAACCTCATCCGGTATCGGAGTAAAATGAAAACTGCTCCCATGAGGCTTGCCTTCAGATTCCTCATCTTCAAATTGTGTTTTAAGCGCATAATATGCATTGACAATTGACCAGTAAGCCGTTCCTGTTGGATTGATGTACACCGAATCATTGTAGTTTTTGTCCCTCCTAGGCCTATAATCGATCGTCCAACCTGCATTGATAAGCATATCCCTTATTTGATTTCGTAACAACTGTTTTTCTGTACCACACTTCCGTTCTCCATCCTTGGCTTCAGATGAAGGGAAATTTTCTGAAGTCAAAATTTTGTCTCCTTTTATGCTTACCTCCTTTTTGGAACTACAAGTATCTACTTTCTTTTGAACCAACCTCGATGATGTATCACTATCCCCTCTTTTCCAGTCATGGACTTTACTGTTCTTAGGTGATGATAGTTTCCGCATGTTCCGTTGATTATTCTCCAATTTTACAAAAGAACTCGGTTTTCCACTGCATTTCCTTTTTGGGAAAGGAGAGGCTTTGTACGATGTGCTACAATTGGAAGTATCAGCAGAAACAGAAGACTTTTTATTTTCCTTGACTTGACAATGACTGGTAATTCTTTCAGCATTGACAACTTTCTTCTTTTTATTAACTATCACTTTTAGAACTCCATTTTTACCCTGCACCCTAATAGTTTCATCACAAGAAACCCGTTGCTTTTCCTTTGGCAAGCCAACTGGACAAAATGATCCATCTTCTTTTTTCATCTCAAATCTACTCTGACCTAAATGGTCAGCTTCCCTGTTATTTTCAATTAACAGGCTGTTGATTCTATCAGAGTTGGTTTTCTTCCTCTTGTCAAACATAATGTTTATGTTGCCTCCATTCTCAAATTCCATCCGCCGGCCACTTGGGGTCAGGTGCTTTAACCCACCCATGTCAAAATCATCATCCTCATCATCATAATCCAGTTTTTCCCTTTTGGGCTTTTGTAAATCAATATCATCATCATCAGTGTACTCAAAGACATCCATCCTACTGCCTTTTCTTTCAATTTCATCTTCAAAAAAATCGTTCCTGCCAATTTTGGAATCTTCTCTATGTTTAACAGGTTCGGGCTTAACTCTATTCCTATCAACTTCAATTTCCTCACGATTAAAATAACAGCCACCACTCTTTTTAGGTGCAGCAGAACCATTACTTTCTCGACTGGTTCCACAAAGCATCTTTCTACGAGGAGAAACTACCAACCCCTTGTCGGAATCGGAATCACTCAGTATCAACCGCGGCCTCTTCTTCTCTTTCTTAGAATCAAAGACCTTCCTTCCTGAAGAACCACCATAGCTCGTGGCACCCCCCCTCTTTTTGACAATTAATCTGCCCGAAGGCACCCTGTCCTTCTCCAGCCTTCCAGACGAATTACCAGATACTAATCCCTCTTTCATCTCATTCAACAACCGCAGAAGCCCCGTGAACTCAACGAGTTCCCTCCAGACTCAATACAAGAACTCCACAAATCCACCAAAGTCCACAAAGGTTACACCAGAAACCCTAAAATCACCTCCCATCTACCTAAGCAGCAAGTCGCGAATCCTCAAAAACAGAGAAAACGAAAGCAGATCTGAGGACTTCGTGCAACGGACAGCCCAAAATTCGAGGAAACCAAAAAAAGGAAGCAGAGAATCAAAACAAAAAACAGCATATGCCGGAGTGCGATATGCTTACCTTGTCGGAAAGCTCTGCAACACGCCCTCCGGCATTTCCCGACGAGATCCCTGCGATCTTAACTGATAATCCCCGGCGAACAGGTCCGAATAGAGAGGAGAGAAAAGAGAAGAGAATTTGGGGGTTCGTTGTGGGAAGAGAAAAGGGGAGAGGGATTGTGTTTTGATCTTCTTTTTTTATATTTCTGTCGTCCTTTTTCACCTTAGAACCGGCGGGATCGTCAAATAATTTTTTATTTTTTATTTTTTCTATTTATTATGTTTTCGACTTTCTTCTACTTGTTTTCCCTCCAAATCGTCACGCCAGTCTCGCAGTAACTCTACAAAGTCCAACATCCGAATTTCGATTACTCCGAAAGGTATGTATCACGTCACTCACACACTGTACAGTACAGAGCCCTTAGAAATTTAAATGTAAGGGATAACGAACGAACCCTCTCGTTTATTTACCGTTTTATTTTACGGTGTCAATGTGGAGTTATAGTAAAATACCTGTTCTGCCCCTGTCTGCACAGGAAGCAAAGCATCGAAGAATGAAGCCTTGGCAGGTCTCTGAGGAGAGGAAGGCACTGGGAGTTCGCATTCGATTCCTCAAGCCCAGCCGCCAGGCCCAATTACGAAAATCTGTCGCACGGGAGAACCTGTAATAAGTAAGAAACCCTTTGTTTTTATCATTACTTGGACTGTAGATTAACACGACCAAAGGAATCGTTAAATCGTTTAGAGCCGATGGTATGAAGAACAACAGGGCTCTGAACCTGAAGGAAAGAGCATTTTGGTGGACTGTTTCACTTATTTGATAATCAACAGTGTTCACTGGTGGTGTACTCTCTTTATCAAAAACTGATCGTGATGATGGCGTCTTATCCTACCCTTAGATTGATATAATATTTTGATCAGAACTGTGTATTCTACAATCCTTTTAAACAGAAGATTTAGAAAATTTAAAATCCACAATTAAAGCTTATGCCACAAAGACAGCCTTCAATAGCTTTCCTTTCCTTTACACCAAACACAGCCTAAACAAAAAAAGGGTGCGCTGCGCATGCGCTCTAATCACTCCTCTCGAGTCCCGACTAAACTAACAGCCAAGTCAAGAAAGTGGCGCTACATCCATCATGCGAGAGGGTACCATGCTTCACGAGTTCGGAGAGCTGTGAACAGGCAATACAATAAGTTGGTCGAGCGTCCAACAAAAAGACAAAGCTTCTCCGTGATCTTTTATAGAGAAAGCAACTTCTGTTACAATAGTTACATAGAGCTCTTTGCTCCGAAATATAACAAAGCATGTATCAGTTGGTCAGTCAAAAACAGCGGTTCAGCCTTAATGTAGACACGTAGTATAGTTGGTCAAAGGGGGGACATGGTTTCAATAACCCCGATCATTCTAAACGAAAGTTTCTGTAATTCATCAAAATGGATATATCATCTTTTGCAAACGAATATCTTTGTGATAAATTCGAGAAATCCTAGATCCACATTGATTAACTCAGGGTCCATTTATTTATAGTCGGAATCAGAATTCTCCAAAATAAGAATCGAAATTGTCTATTCCAATAGTCTGTTTGGTTCAGACAAAAATGGGAATAAGAATTAAAATCAGAAGAAATAGGACTTCATTCCCAATGAAGGGGCAGAAAATGACTATTCCCTCAAATGGGAAAATGCCATTCCAGCAGGAATGGGAACGAATTTCCAATTACACCCAACCAAACAGTTAGAATCGGAATAGACCATTTCAATTCCAGACCCCTATTCCTGCAAACCAAACGGACCCTCAAAGTCTTTTATAGAGCGGAAATTTAAACTCAGTTTGAAAAGTCTTTTGGCAAAGATATTCGATTTACAGAAAACAAAATTTAACAAAAAGAGTATCTTGAGCGCGTGTAAAAAAGCTTTTGAATTTTTCATTTTATCCTACGGAAATTTACGAGTAGAAAGATAAGATCATTTGCAAATCAAAGGCCCACGTAAATGTTTCAACTTTCAAGCAGTCCAAAAATCTCTTCATCTTATATTACCAAAGTACCAACACCGAAAGAAAACTCTGAACCAACTGAGACGGCATTTATATGCCTTGTACATAGGGAAGCAATAAGAGGAAAAGTCTAAAAGAACCTTCAAAACATATAGGTAAAGTCGATAGAAACACTTATCGCATATAGATTAAAGGCTTTAAACGGAAGAAAACATGTAGAATATTTTATGTGCCGTATGCAGGTAGCAAAACTAGTTGGTAAGCCTCAGTTTGGAAGGTGAACAATTACATACAAAATGAAACGTTTTGCACTTGCATATTTGTATGCGTACTCCTTCCAAAGCCTAAGAGTGCAAAACAAAAATGGGAGGGGCTAACGATTTACTACTTTCAAGTTGCAAACACTATATTAACGAGTGACGAAACCATTCACCAGTTGATCATTACTACAGACTTTAAGCCCAAAGTAAAAGGAATAATTTCCTATTGCCATGAACGAGCGATTCTAAAAAGTAAAACGTTAAACTATCAAGACTCATCGATGCAAGCACAAAAACATTGTTAGACATTTTAACTTGATACTCTAATGCTCTCTATCCAACCAAAATTTGATCCAGACCTTAAAATTGAATTCTAAAGCCAGCGAAAATCTTCACTATTTCATCAACAAGGAAAAGAATAGAAAACAAGGACAACAAAGAACATCGGCGCCAGAAAATCCCATAAAACTCATTTCTTCTTTCCTGCTTTAGCAGCATCTCCAGCCTTGGTCTGCATATGAAAAAATATAATAAGTTCAAAGGCCATTAAACAAAGTTCAATAACAAAGTTCAGAAGTTCAAACCTTCTTCACTCCACGGATCTTCTTGGCTCTGTTCTTTCTTTCCTTGACCTGCTTCCTCGACTTCTCCGTCTTGGTAGCTAGGCCATTCTGCCATAAGCAAATTGTAAACTTCATCAGGCATCAAGACATCATGAAAAAATTGTATCTAAATTCAATTCCAGCAAATATCTACTACAGCATGACGCTCACAACTCTCAGATTGATAACAAATTATCAATGACAACAAGTAGTTCACTACAGTTATCATGACATCGTTTGCTACATACTTACTGACAAGGGAACAAAGGATAAATACAAAAGCAAAAAACTGTCAACACATCATTGCAAGTAAATACAATAAAACAATAATAGAGTGCAAGTGAAACTGATAACAAAGGTTTTCATGCCCAACACCAGGACAAAAATATGAAATAATTCATGCATCAACACAAATTGAAACTCCAAAAAATATCAATGAACAGAAGAAGGGTACCAACGGAGATTTATAAAGACAAGATAACACAGGCAGGACATGGTTGGAATGAAGTTGTATTCTTGGAAAATTTATGTCAAAAATCAAAATGAAAAAACTAGAGTCACCTGCTTTGTGGGTCCTCCTTATTGCCCATTCACAGTCAAACAAATCAGTAGGTTTGATAAGAATAAATGGGAGAATGAAACAAATAAAAATCAGGACAAATATCACTGAATGAGCCGAGTGCTTGAAACAACTAGTCCAAGCTAACTATAAAAAAACTAATAATTGAAATAAAGTGAACAATATATTTGAGAACATTAACACAAAATAGTTAATACTAAAAATACACTGTTATGGCAGAAACTAGCATCACCAAATAGCTTGCAAGGATCATGAAACCAAGTAGGGGATCTGATATTAATACGGAAGGGTTTAGGAGCCTGTGGGTTCACCTTTCATACATGCATGTGTACATATATCACATATACAAACCAAGGCTCAGAACTTCCAAATGCAGGTAATGTAATAAGGGCAAAAATTCTACCGTCATTTTCCTAGAATTAGGTTCTCATCTGAATGAATGGTGTAAAGCAACACAAGCATTAATGATATAAAAAGCAACACAAGAATTCCACCTGGTTACTCCAAAAAGAGGGCAAAAACATGAAAAAGGACCTTTTAATTTTAGGGGTTTTTATGATTCAGTCCAGCCCTAGATGGAGCTAGGATTTCATAGGGGTGGACTGAATCCTGCCCATGGATTGATGCCAAATTCAAGGGCAGGATGTAGTTTATAGGGGGGGCTACTAGTAGACTAGGAGGGGGCTGCAAAAAATATTTGAGGGGGATTGCAGTCCAAAAATTCCTTAATTTTAATATCCCATGGGTCTTTCGAGTTGTCATGTCTGTAGCATGCAAGTCACATATTTCATCATTCAGAAACTTCTTTTAACTCCGAAGAAATATGAATCATTAATATAGAAACAAAAAGTCCATCAATGAGAGCATCGTGGGGGCAAATAGAAACATTAGAAAGAGAAATGACATAATTAATGCCAGGATTCAGAGTACCAATGTGAGAATAACATTCAGGGCAAAAAGGGAACAAAGTGTAATATTCAATATATTTTGCAGCATTAGTCATATTCCTGCCCATGCATTTTCAAAAGGAATCCAGGAATATTCCGCTCTCCAAGGAAAAATAGGTAGAATAAAAACAATAGAAGAGAACATGCATATTCAGTATTTTATGAGGATTTGGAAAAAGGACTCATGAGCATTTAAGACAAATAAAAAATTGCAAACAAATCGAGAAACTATGCATGGATTACCTCCTCTATTAACCAAAAATTATGAGGAAAAACCCATCAAGGAATGAGAATAATCAAGAATGATGATCTGTATTAGTTAAAGATGAGAGTTCATATTACCCTGATAAGCCTGTACTTCGGTTCATACTTCTTCGCACTCTCAACAGAATCATAAATAAGCCCAAAACCAGTGGATTTCCCACCTCCAAAGTGAGTCCTGAACTTGAATACGAAGATGGCATTTGGATCTTTTACCTCGTACATTCTTGCCAATTTCTCCTTTAGCTCGGCCTTAATAAATAAATAAAATAGACAAAGATGGGCACCAACCAGATGAAACACGTTCGCAGACTTCATGTAAGAGAAGAAATACACAAAGCGAAGGAAAAAAGAAAAGGAAAAAGAGAGAGTAAGAGATAAAACAGGGGAGGACAAATACCTTCGAGACGTTCGGTCTTCCTGGATGCAGCACGTCAATGATCTGTTTGTAACAAGGAACGCAAACAACAACGGTTAGAAACACTTAAAGCATCTTGTGTTTTAATTCATATGTGAACTTGATGGAATCAAGGGATCAAAGGAAAAAACTCACGAACTGCTTCCTCGATAGAAGTCTGTTGGTCATGAACTTCCTAGTGCGAATAGTTACTGCCTTGGTGTCTGCCATGACTCTGAACACAACAAGCTCCTGGTAAGATGAGCATCAAATCGGAGACTAAGCACTTAAAGAGCAAACAATGACGTCCACTTTAAAAATTAAACCATGAACGTAAAGGGCTGAAACCCATTTTAAATACACGAACACGGTTGGAAAAATGTATAACAGAGACAACATTAGACATTCGACTCCAAAATCCAAATACCACACTAGTGTGATCTCTGGAAGCTGTCTTTTCTGCGATCTAACATTTTAGGAAAAATAAAAAGAAGGATCTCAGAAGACGATATTTCTGCCGTATTTTTACTTCTAATCATATCGATTTACAACCCAAACGATGCCGCTTAAAACTCCTAGCATAAGCTCTTAGCCTGTCCTAGATTTCCAGTAAAAACCCCAACAAATAAGCTTACAACGAGGAATGAAGGAGAATGAATGGTGTATGGAACTTACTCGAATAGCTCGCCTCTTCCCTCCTGTAATAGGCGCCGAGCGAGTGCTTGTGCCAGAGACGATGCTAATTAGGGTTTTAGTCCAACGCTTTATTTATACGCGGCGGGACAGCGAGAATAGGGTTGATCTGGGCCGGGCCGGGTCTTAACACATAGTTATGGTAAGGGGCTATAGTCCGTTCCCGGCCCAGGCTGGGTGGGTTCTGGGCCCATGACTTCAAATGCGAACCACTCGACTACAACGTGAATGTTTTGTTTTCGAATTGCTGATCAAGGGATCAGTTAAACAAGAAAATATGTTATTGAAATCTATTAAAAGAAATAATTCGTTCTTTTAAAATTATCAAAATTATGGTTTTTTAAAGGCATTATTGATAATATATAGGGATAATAGCATATAAAACAACTTTTTGGGTTTAATATCAATAAAAGTAATATTTAAAAAAAAATCAAAAATAGGTTAACTTTTTTAAAAATAATATCAATAAAGGACAAAAACATTGTTCATTATCTTCTTCTTGCCATATGTTCACCAGCACCGCCGCAGTTAAACAATAAAATATGTTATTGAAATCTATTAAAAGAAATAATTCGTTCTTTTTAAATTATCAAAATTATGGTTTTTTAAAGGCATTATTGATAATATATAGGGATAATAGCATATAAAGACAACTTTTTGGGTTTAATATCAATAAAAGTAATATTTAAAAAAAAATCAAAAATAAGTTAACTTTTTAAAAATAATATCAATAAAGGACAAAAACATTGTTCATTATCTTCTTCTTGCCATATGTTCACCAGCACCGCCACCCGCCACCGCCGTCCACTACCACCTGCTATCGCCTCCGCCTCTGGTAACATTGCCAGAGGTGGCAACAGCGGCGCTGGTGGTCATTCCTCTACCCAACGCCACCACCTCCACCTCCAGCAATGTTGCCAGAGGTGGGTGGAGATAGAGGTGGCGGCAGCGGCACTGGGCAGAGGAATGACCACCAGCGCCGCCACTGCTACCTCTGCCTCTGGGCACCTCCAGCAACGTTGCTAAAGGCGGAGGCGATGGTAGGCGGCAGCGGATGGTGGTGGCGGGCGGCGGTGCTGATGAACAAATGGCAATAATAAGATGATGAATAATGTTTTTGCCCTTTATTAATATTATTTTTAAAAAATTACCCTTATATGATATTAACCTATTTTTTAACTTTTTTTAAATATTACTTTTATTGATATTAAACCTCAAAAATTACCCTTATATGCTATTACCCCTAATATATACCATCTACTTTTAAAACTACTTAAAATATGTCAGATCATATTGGCGCCCCATAAAGCGAGCCCCACATGCACATCTCAACCTGCATGGGTGGGATGGGTTGTGATTTGTGAGACATGTATGGGGTGTGCCCTATGGAGAGTGGATGCAAATTATTTATACTTATATATACATTGTTGACCATTCAACTGTTAATATCAACCAAATGAACCATAAATCCAAAAATGTCCACCTTCCCCCTTCTTCCTTAAGGCTGTGTTTGGTAAAGTAAATGAAGGCATGAAGCAGAATAAAGGAATATCCATAACAAAATTAAACAATAATTTACATTTTTTACATTTGCACTTTTATGCATTTATACTAATGCAAATAAAATTACATTGCAACTAAATACAACCTAAGGCTCAATTTGGAAGGGATGCAAATACAAACTGAGCCTAAAATGCTCGAGGCCTCATTTTTAGTCAAATGAGCTATTAATCAATTTCCTCAAGCTCAAGTACCAGCATAATGGGTCCCACAAAAAAAGATCATTTTTTTGGAGAATATTGGTTTCTACGGGTATGTAAGTTGATTACCCACTCGTTGAAAAAGTTGAAACTTGACCAAACAATAGCACCGCAAATTTACTATATAACTTTTGCTCGGGTAAATGTGTTTTAGAAAAATAAGGTAGAAAAAAGGGTAAATTTCTAAAATTACCTTTTGGATTACTTAATTGACTGAGTATACCCTACTGTTTGATTATTGTCTAACGCTACCCCTACTATTTCAAAAAATCACCATTGTCATTAAATATTAAGGGAATGGCAGAAATATCAGTTTTACCCTTCCATTAAATCCCTTTGAAATTAATATCTCTCTCTCTCATCACCTCCTTCGCACAACAAAGACACCATCGCCACTACTGCAATTTTTGAAAGCGGTTAATTTTCTGCTACAAATGGTGATTTCCACTCTCTTCTCCATTCTAACGCATTAACAATTTTTGTGTCTCTTCTTCCCTTTCATTCTCTCTATGGCCCCTCACAATTTTTTGTGTCTCTTCTTCTTCCCCTATAGAAGCATGGCGGTACCTTCCATTTCAAGGTGTTAGGGAGGGAGGCCATCACTAAATCTAGATAATATTTGATCCAATGGCTAAGCTCTTGACTACAAGACTCTGAGTGTACGGTGACACCCAATGGTTGTGCATTGGATCGAGACACTAGGATCTACATATAAGGTGAGGCAGGAGGAATATTTGAGTGTGGTGGAGGTACCAGGGTGCTTGTTATCCGGGCTGCAATTCTGGCCAATTGACCTCATTGGAGCACGGATTTGCAAAATATTTAACTAAGGAATATCTGGTCAATTGGTTGAGAAGAAGATGACGCACCGAACGAAGAGAACTCCGCCACTATTCCAGCATTTATGGATATCAATCGGGTTGCTTTGGTCTATAAATTGGCAACTTTGCTTGTCGGCTGTGGAAGTCGTCCTTAAAAGAGCTCCGAACATGCAAATCTCTTCCGAAGTGGCTGCCATCCCTAGTCCCCCTATGAAAGCGTACGACAAAAGACATGGTTGGAGCGGCCATTTTCTAGCTCTCTTCTTCACTAAACCACGTTGAAGAATCTTGATGAGGGCAGATTTGGCCCTCCAATGACATCATGACACATGGCATCTCAGAACAGTTAGATGACACCTCGACACCAACTAGGCGATGATTAGCCATAGCCAAAGTGACGAAGTTTGACTTGGCACCATGCCTCTACCGCCCACCTGGCGGCCTGCCTCTACCACAGACTTGGTGGGAACCTAACTGGCAACCTCTTCCACAACTCAGGACAGCTTGTAGCACCTCGTCCAAGGCCGACTTGTGGCACCTTGTCACCAGCCAAAGTGACCTCAACGTGAGGAGTGACCTCCTTTGAGGGCTTGCCAACCTGATTGAGGTCCAGGTGGTGACCTGCAAGACGTGCTCACCAACCAATCCGGCATGTATATCCTGACACTCCCAGGTTTCTCGGAAGTTGGCCCCTGTACCGAATGTTCCGAAGGAAGCCGAACAAGGTGCGAAGACTGGTCTACGTGCACGGCTACCCCCAATGACTTCAGGTCGGTTAGGCACAACCTCCCAAAGATCTTGAACACATATAGGCCTTACCTCCAACCTCACAAAGGAGAAAAAAAAGGTGCGTGCGGTTTGTGCTTACTAGCTCTCTTGCATTCAAGAATTAGCTCGCTTACACAACTATCCACTGACTTAAGCATAAGTGTGACCACGCCGGGTTAACCACCCCGGGTTCCTTGTGCTTTCTCTTTTTGCAGCTCGATTCACCAGCCAATCAACTGACGTTCGAGTAGTCATCTAGCTAGGAGCTCCAGATCGTGCACCATCAATTGGCGTCGTCTTGGGAAATGCAACAAAAGGCTAACTTATCACCTTCTAGTTTGCACCTTTATCAACTCAATGACATTTTTGAGTAACATCAACATCAATAACGAAATATCAGTTATTGGGGGGCAAGAGAATCCGTGATGAACGTTGAGAACCCCTCTGTGACAATCAAGTAAGTTCATTGCCCCTAGCACTTCCTCGAGTAGCAATCGTGTTGAACCCAACACTCACATTACCCTAGAAAAACACACTGCTACCTCATGTGAACGCCCCTCTCCTTGCGGTAGAGCCATCAGTGGTCCCCGCCAGGATTGAAGCGTGACATTTTTATGAACTGAAACATGAATCTGCAGACGTGGGCATGGGAGGAGAAGTTTGGTGTATTCATTTCGTCGTAGAATAATCAGTAGTAGAACGACCTCAACAACTAGCAGTCCGGCGATAGGCACCTCAGAGTAAGGCCTCCCCTGCAAGTCGAGCCCTTCGTGGTTCCTGCGGGAGTTGACGGCCAACAAGCTCTGTCGACCTCAATTCAGCCTGGATGAACCTCGTCAGCTCTATTCACGAGGTTGCCTCTACAAGTCGAGCCCTTCGTCACTCCCGCGGGAGTCAACAGCCATCGGATTGTGTGGTCGCCCTTGCAGGTTAAGCCTTCCAATGCTCTCGTGCAAGTCAATGACTTAAGATTAGTAGAGATGCCCCCACAGGTCAAGTTCCCTGTGCCTTCTTGTAGGAGTAGACGACCAGCGTCACCAAGGGCCTGATGCGGTGTAGCCGTGGCATCGACCTACCGCCCACGCCGGGTAAAAGAAACCTAGGCACTCTAACATTGTTTCCTTGCAGGTCTCTCTAGAGAACTACACAGCTCGCTTATCTACCTAGCTCGGCACCCGAACAACCTCCTAGCACTTTGTAGTCAGCTCGGCATCCAAGCCACCTTCTACCAGGAATTCTCTTGCTCAGCTTTTAACTCACTATTCGGCATGGTAGTTGCCAAAAACCGCTTCATCAAATCTCATCAATCAAGCTATATTTCTAAAAATGCAGAAAGCAAAGCACAATGAACAATTCAGTGTTTTCTGTTTTCAATGTTCCCAATGCTTTGTCTCTCATTCACCAACGCGTAGCTTCGGTGAAAACAGAAAATTGAAAACTATATTCAAAAGGAAGCCTATAAGCTATTATTGTCTGTTTTCTTCTATTCGGATATATGGTGGAACAACCCCTTGCATCCGCTTGGGAAATGCTTCACGTCTCCCAAATAAATGTCATCATAGATATTAAAGCTAAAACTTAAAAGTTCAAAATTTTCACTTTCCCGGCAAAACTAGAGACATGGAAGCCAAATTGCCCATCGAAGCAACTTACATGGAGGTAAACTCTTGAGACAAAATTCTGGACCAAATCAGGCATATTCCTTGATTAGAACCCATGTGTTCCTCCCCACTACCA